TTCCACCTTCACCTGCCAGCCATTGTGGTGGTTCTTGTGTTCACCTCCACCACTGACCATGGTGGAGGTGAGAGCCTTGGTTGGTCACTTTCTATCTGGTGGAGTTCAGAGGTGGATATTGGTGAAGCTAATGGGCATGTGCCATGTGTACATGAGTATGATTTAAGAGGAAGGGCAATGAGTTGATTTTGGGTAGCTTGGGTCCAAGTCATGTATGTGGGTTGTACTCACCCACCATGAGGGTTGGACTTGGTTCTTAGCATGGGGGCTTAGGTGGATAAGTCCCAATCATAGGGATTTGGTTTAATCTTTGGGCTTATGTGAGTCATTAGAGTGGCTAATTACTTTTTGGGGAAACCTGAAATGGTGGCTAGACTTGCTTATTTAGGGAAGGGTGGCTTGCATGGAGCTCATGCTTGATTTAGTGGCTTTCATATGTCTTAGATTAGGCTAAGTAGCTTGCTTATGACTTGTATGAAAGGGGGAATTAATGGTTTTTGGGTTCTTGGTGTGGCGTGTTCATGGGTCCAAATTTGGACATTTTTTTTTACTTTTTTAAGTGACACTTGTTTTTTTTAATTTAATTTTAATGCCATGGTGGTTTAATTATTTTTAACATTAGCCCATTTTAATTTTAATTTTGGTGGGTGGGCTTGGACTTGAGTTTAGTGGAACTTTGGGCTTTTTGAAATTCATGGTGACGGAATTTTAAAATTAATTTTTTAGGGCTTGAATTTATCATGGTGGACTTTTGAAAATTATCATGATGGATTAATTTTTGTTTTTTAATTTTGATTTATGAAAAATTTTTGGAAACTTGATTTCAATTTTGATGGAGAAGTGTGTGTAAGTGTGACGTGGTTTATGGGTGTGAATTTGTATGTGTGTGAATGCTACCGTATGTATATGAATTGTGGTGTAGATGTATATGGTGTAAATGTATGTGGTGTGAGTGTGTATATGTGTGTGAATTGTAGTGTAGGTGGAGTGAATTATGGTGTGATTATGTGTAGAGTGAATCATAGTGCATGTGCATGGTGTAGATTGTGGTGTGTGTATGTATATGGTGTAAGTAATGTGGTGTTTCAAAGGGATGAAAACCTAGGTCAGAAAGGTCTCCTTAGAACATCACTTGATCTTATGGTGAGATCATCCTAAGTTTCAATGTGTTGGTGTTTAATCAACTCAATCAAGCGTTGATGATTTAAGATCATACTCATGAAAATATAAAGAGCCAAGAAGTGGTTTGAATTTCATTTGGTGCGGTGACATGCCTAAAATATGTTACTTTTAATTGAATATTTAATGCCTATTTTTAATGATATTGCGGTTTAATGAAGTGTTTTTTTTTTGTAGGTACACTAAATGGAGCAAGTGGGCAAATGGAACTAAAATAGAGCAAGTTAAACTCAAAGAAAACAAATTGACCAATGTTGACATGGCGCCTAAGCTCCAAAGACAAGTTTTCTTGATGATTCAATGAACATTGATGAATTTTGAAGGGGTGTTTGAAGTAACTCTTGGTGATTTTGAAAGTTTTATTTAAAGAGACTTCTGGAGATTAAAATGGGTTTTTCTTAGAGAGGAGGGGAGTCTTTATTTAAAGAGACTTCTGGAGATTAAAATGGGTTTTTTTTAGAGAGGAGGGGAGTCTTTTTAGAGAGAATGGAGTCTTCTTGGAGAGAGGAGAAAGTCTGAGAGGCTTGCTTAGATTTGGAGGAGAAGAGGAGAAGTGAAATATATCTTCTTCAATATAGTTCTAAGTTAGATTGAAGTGGAATTGTAAGGAGAGTGAGTGATTCAAAGGAACTAGAAGGATTGCTTGCGAAGGAATTTGAGATAAGTTCTGTATTTTATTTTTTTTACTTAGTCTTATTTTATAAACTTATATTTATCTATAAATCCATTTGTTGTTGTTTCTTCCCCACGAGATCTAAGTAATTTTCTTTGTCTTTCTCTCTGCAATGAGAAATAATTTTATGTAGTAATGAAGTTTAGCAGAAATGCTTTTAATTCCATAAATAGTGATGATTTAAACTCTATGCTTAGTTTAATATTGATTTGTGCAATTGATTTGTTTAAATATGTTGTTAAACATAATTACCCGAAAGGGCTATGCTTTTCACAACACAGTAAGAATCACATTTCATAAGAATGCAGTCCATGGAGATAAGTGAAAATAAATGGGAAAATAAGTTTTGATAGTAGTAAAATTGAAGATTTTAGAGTGATAGATTAAAATTCCTAATTTGATCTAGATGTTTGGAAACTAAAATGAGATGTTAGCCTTTAGGTGAAGGGTAAGTAGAAACTCTAGTGTGACAAATAGTATCTTCCCAACCAAACCACAAGTTTAGAGACTTAACTCTGGATTAATTAATGTTCTTTATGCACTCGAAATAGGGTAAAGAATATGTATGCTCCTATTTGACATAAAATTATTTGATTTCACTTGTTTAGAGACTTAACTCTGGATTAACTAATGCTCTTTATGCACTCGAAATAGGGTAAAGAATATGTATGCTCCTATTTGACATAAAATTATTAGATTTCTACACTAATTATAAACTCGTTGCAAAGAGAAGGATGTTTCATACAAATTTGAACTATTGTATACATTGTTAGTTTAGAATTTCTTAGTGGTAACTTTACTTTTTAGGATTTTTAAATCGTCTTGCATTTACATTTTGCATTCGCTTATCATACTTAACATAACTTTTAATTATGTAGGATTATGTAATTCACAAAAACTTTTTATCATTTCCTATATAAGTTAGCTACAATTTAAAGAAGGTTTTACTAAAGTCATCCTATAAGAGTTTTGTCTATCTTTGTGGAAACGATACTTATGACTCTATTAGAGCCCTATATTACTTGAAACGATACATATACTTTCGTAGTACCTCTAGTATATGAACCATTTTATCAATTTTATATAATATTTAATTTTGCACACTAGTCGTTGAGTTAAGCTTTTAGCCATATTTCAAAATTAAAATATTTACGTAATTGCGGTCGGGTCAAGTTTTTTGACGCGTAAGTATTCAACATTCGGGCTGCAACCTCATCAATATATGCCAAATACTTACATGTCTCTATTGAAATTTGAGTATGTGTTATTTGTTGGTTTTATTCCTTAAATGAGGTGCATATCCATTTTTGTATTGTTATGAAGCAATTTTTTTGGTTCAAAACTATCAAATGTATATCCATTACAGTTCTACTGCAAACAACACAACTACGCTTTAACAGAATTGTCATTTATCCAAAAACAACTGCAAATCAACAATTTTCCAAGCGCACAAACCAAACAACTAAACAATTTATTCAGATCAGAGCAAAATGATCATTTATCCAGAAACAACTGCAAATCATGTTTTTTCTAAACGGACAAACTAAACAACCAACCGGCTTTTCTAGATCAGCTGTTGATTAAGAGCTTATCAGGATAAGCTGGATAAGCTGCAACTGCCCCAAACAAACCCTTAAAGGGTTAAATTGATTGCTGCCTATGTATTCCACCAATATTTGTCATTAAATTATATTTTTTAAGAAAAATCCAATCCCTATGGGTCAAATGTGATTTAAAATATGGGGAAATTACATACATAACACTCAAAAAATTGCTATTTACAAATCTAAACCTCTTTTTCATCCTTTTGCAAATTTTCATTCAAATATTAAATTCATGATAAAACCCCAAATCATATTATTTTTTATCAAAATTTAAATAGTTTGATTGTTACACACGTAAATACATTAATTTAGTAGTTTAAAAATAAAAAATGGGTGCAAGTTTTCGTAAATAACAATATTTCAGGTACTATATAAACATTAATTTCACTAAACAATCTACCAAATAATTTCAAAATTATTTTTATGTGTTGTTATTACATGATTTTTGTGGTGCACCAAAGCCGTAACCTTCTTAATGTGAGGGTGGACATAATGCTATTTGCCCACCTTTAATTTATGACTTTAGCCACTCCTAACAAAAAAAAAAAAAATGCCCCATTAATTTCTTAATTATTTAGATATTTCTCAAATTTTATAATTTTTTGAATATTTATTACTTTTATTTACAAATTTAATGGTATATATATAGCTGAAAAGTTGTTCGATGGGCAGAACTGCCAATTACCCCCCAGGTCGCAACCAGTCAGGTATGGGTTTAACCCTTGCACCTAACTACTCAAGTAACACACCCATATAGCATCAGTCGCCTGGGGGGATTCGAACCCCAATCGAGAGAGAACTTACACCACCGAAACAGATGCTCTACCAACTAAGCTGAGAATGCAACGTTGTATGGGAGTAACTCTTATGTTAATCATAATTGAATTATCATGTTATGAAATATTTAAAGCCCATCTTTGAAAATGTTTTGTCTCCCCCCATGGCTGGCACACGAGCTTTAATTTTCATATTGCAAATTTTAACATGTGTTCATTTAGATAAATTATTTGGCATTATTTAGAAACTAACATATTTTATTATACTAACTTTATGTAGATTAAATAAGTTATTATTAATATAGTTAAATATCTAAACTAATAAATAATTAGAAAATTATTAATATATTTAAATAAAAACTTAATTTTTGAAAAAATAAATTTAAAATAAAAAAACAAAACTATCAACTGTTTTTAATCTGTAAAAAATATTTGTTATAATAAAATTAATTACTTATTAAGACATTCATATTCAGTTTATCCGATTCAATATGAAATTTTTTTATCATTTTTAATTAAATTAATTAAATTTAATTTTCATAGATTAATAATCTACTCAATTATCAGCAAGTATTTTGAATTTGATTAAAATTTTAATTAATTAAAAATTTAAAATTTGAAACCCTTCTCCCCGAAACCGCCGTCTTCCATAGTTCTAATTTCCCGAAACCCTCGGCGACAGGAGGCAGGGAAGCTAAGTAGCGAAAGGTGCTCACTCCAGTGGTGTACTGAAGAAGAATAGGTGTTCTTGACGTCTTTGGGATTTAGGTTAAATACGCTCAATTTCTGGATTTACTAAATCCGGGATTCAGGACAGAGAGACGGTATTTACGATTCTCTAAGATTTTTAATGGTGTCATCTTGGCTGTTTGTCAGGACTTAGGTTAAATCCTTGTCAAATCTTGCTTTCAAACAGCCCTATGAATAATACTTTTTCTCTAACCAGTTCATTTTCAAAATGTGTCAAATCAACCTAACGTAAACGTCTAAATTTGTCTTCTTTAAGCACTTAGTCTGGAGATGAAGGCTTCCAGGAAGAGGAAGGCGCATCCAAAGGCGGAGGGTGAGGAAGGTGGTGTCAATACCAGCAACGAGCTTCCCAAGGAATTGGGTAAGGGTAACGCTAATAGAAGGAAGCGCGTAGGAACTAAGCTTACTCAGAAAACCGAGTATTTCGAGGAGAAACGGAATCTGGTTAGTATGAGGCTCAGTGGTGATTATTTCTTTTTCTGTTTATATCTTTTAATAGATACTTCAGATTCTATTGAATGGTTCTTTTGTTCTATGCTGTATTTTTGGTTATGCATAACCCCGAGGAGAAACGGAATCTGGTTAGTATGAGGCTCAGTCGTGATAATTTCTTCTTCTGTTTATATCTTTTAATAGATACTTCAGATGCTATTGACTGGTTCTTATGTTGTGTGCTGTATTTTTGGTTATGCATAACTCTGCCTTTCATTACCTCATGGAAATGAAGAGCCTTTATTGAAAATTTGCTTTATGAATACATCGGAGGAGCATAATCTGGTTATTTTCTTATTCCCGAGTGGGAAATCCAGTATGATACAATTTATTTCTGCATTATTTTTCTTACTGATTTTTGGTCACGCATAACTCTGCCTTTCATTACCTCATGGAAATGAAGAGCCTTTATTGAAAATTTGCTTTATGAATACATTGGAGGAGCATAATCTGGTTATTTTCTTATTCCCGAGTGGGAAATCCAGTATGATACTATTTATTTCTGCATTTTTTTTACTGATTTTTTGTCAATATTGATTGATATTTTCCATGCGTGCTGCAGTTTGTTTTAATTCAGCCACTCATTTTCTAATTATTTTATGTAAAAAATAAAACTTTACTAACTTTGTGTGCCTTGTTGGTACAACCTTTGAGAAAAAAATGCTGTATTTATATACATGAATATATTTTTTATTTTCTTTTTGAAATTGTTTTTCTTTTTCATGCAATTATATGGAAATTGTTGTATTATTTGTTTTTTCATTATTGTCTTAACTCACAAAAAAAAAAAAAACTGTTTTTTCATTATTGTCTTAACTCACAAAAAAAAATTTTTTTTTGAAATGTGATTGAAATTTGCTATATTCATAAGTTGTTTGGATGCTGTTAAAAAATAAAAAAAACATTGATTTTAGGCTTTACATATCTTCCCTAATTCTTCTTATATGTAAAAATTAATAAAGTTGAAAATCATCAAAATCATTCTTCTGTCTACGGGTTACAAATTATAATGGTTTTTGCAATACTCATAAAATCACCGTGTTTGAAAATCATCTATTTCTAAATCATGCTTTCTATCTAGAGTCTGCCAAATAAGCCCGAAGTGTGATTGTCCTGAAGTGTTATTATTGCATTGTTTTTTACTTTTTGTGGTGCCACTTAAGTGTTAATCGTGGATTGTACTTTTGACAGGAGGATTTATGGCTAGCTGCATTTCCTGTTGGGACTGAGGTCTGATTGCTGATTTTTATTACACAACCACATCAAATTCTTTCCATAGATGATTAGTAGAGAGCTGCCTGAGATATTGCGCTCAATCATGTGAAAGTCTGCTTGTTATAATGGTTTTCTATTACATGCGTGATTTGCTGACAGTGGGATAACATGGACAAACTTCGTGAGATCAATTGGAAATTTTCCAACTTGGAGGTGTTATTGCAGTGCCTTTTACACTTCATTTGTTTTTGTATTTTGCAACACAATAATATGGTACAAATATGTAATACATTTCTCTAATCTCGACCTTTTTCATATTACGCATACAGAATGCTTTTGAGGAGGGTGGGGAGCTTTTCGAGAAGAAGGTGTACTTGTTTGGCTGTACTGAGGGTGGCTTCCTTGTCTTATTCCCCAACATGTGGGCTTATTATTTCATCAGATTCTAGCTAGAATTTCATTTTACATCTGTTTGAAGAATTAGGTTTTTTATTAAGATTGAATATAACAACTGAATATTTTTGTAGCTACTTTGTTCTCCGGTTCTCTTTTGAGTATGCAAAATCATTTACAATCCAAGTTTTGAAATTAAAAATGAAAAAAATTAAAAGGTGGCTCCATTTTAATAAAATAACATCCGCTATTTATGAGCTATTTATGCCTTTTTTCTTTGAATGCAGCTCAAATGCTAAATGTAAATGGCGTGGACAAGGTCACTCTCATCCCGGTTGTGGTTGCAGTAAGTACAGTCATTTTCTATTTGTGACTGTTCTTTTTTGAAAACTAATTTTTTTTCTCAAAAATTATGAGATGTATTCACCATTCAGTTAATACTAAAGATCAGATTTCAGACCAATCATTTGCCAGTTAAATTATGTATTATGAATCTTTTGAGGATCACTTTTCATTATTCCTTGACATTTTATACATTTCCATTCTCCAGCGCTGTTGAGAATGAGATGCCAATCTTATATATGTTTAATGCAGTGCACTGAGAATCAAAACTGCAATCCATTGGCAATTTGCAATAATACGATTATTGGATGAACATATTCATGGTGTTGAGGGGAAAATTTTTAATGCACTGCTTTGCGTAAATGGTATTGTGCATTCTGTTGTAATTTCTTTGCTTTTAGATGATGGCAGTTGATTGTCTTATATTGTTTTTTCACAAAAAAAATTTGATTTGATACCATATTTTGATTGAATTTTTAGTGTTTTCTTTTACTAAAAAAAAGTTTAGAGGAGCCGAGAGCCGAAACATACAAACACATCACTTTACCCTTTCTCATCTGAGCTTTTGAATGGTAGTCACTAGTTATGTTACTATTGATTTGTGCAGGTTATCGTAAATGCTTGTCTTTTGGGAGTTTATGTATTTGTGCTTTATATTACTTGGGTTTAAATCCTCACTACTATATTTTTTTTACACTATCACTTTACCCTTTCTCATCTGAGCTTTTGAATGGTAGTCACTAGTTATGTTACTATTGATTTGTGCAGGTTATTGTAAATGCTTGTCTTTTGGGAGTTTATGTATTTGTGCTTTATATTACTTGGGTTTAAATCCCCACTACTATATTTTTTTCACACTACAAAAAGCTTCCATGTTAAGATTAAAAAGCCTTCAATTATTTAAATTAAGGTTACCAGTGATTTTTGTAGGTTATCCTAATTATTTTTTTTTTTACATATTTTTTGTTTTTTGTTTCCGAAAACAAATTAAAATGGTTTTTAAAAACACTCAAAAGAACTTTTAGATGTTTGGAGTGTTTTTAAAACAGCAATACTTTAATCAATTATTCAACATATTTTCTTTCAAATCAAAACATTAAAAAAAAAGGAAAATAAAATACAAAAGCGATCCCAAACATCACCCCTTATATTTTGGGAGTGTTGTGTTTTTGTGCATTATAACCCTCTGCTTCTAATCCTCACTGCAATATTTTTTTCACACTAAAATAAGCTTCCATGTTAATATTAAAAAAGCCAAAGGATGGTATCTGCATGTAACTTGGAGAGACATGTGTGGAAGCTTTAATTTCTTATCATATTTTATTGTTATGGATTTTGCTGATATAAATATTAATTAGGATATTCTTTTAACAGCTTATATAGTTCTGCAATATGGGGTTAAGAGGGGTATTTTCACGAACACAAAAAAAAGCTTATGTCTCTCTTTGTGTTAACAAATTTATTATGACTTTCTCTTCAGTTGAAACAATATGAGCTGTTTGAAATTTCGTATGCTAATTTTATTAAAGATACCATCTTTTTTTTTTTATTTATGAAGCTTGGATGCAATGTTTCATTCTATTCACCCCTTCTCCCTCTTTTTGTTTAGGTGGTTTCTCCTGTTCCACCCTCTGATCAAATTGGCGTGAAATCTGTACAGAGAGAAAAAGAAGAAATTATTCCTATGAAATCTATGAAAATGGCTTGGATGCCATATATTCCATTGGAGGATAGGTAATTTCTTTTAAACCTTTAACCTGTTGATGTCTAAGGCGATTTTCAATGTTTTCATTTGAAAGTTTCAGCTAGTATGAATTGCATTTTTTCTTATTTCTAGGCAAAGTCATTTGGAACGATTGCACACTGAAATTTATACAATTGGGTGCACTCAGAGAAGGTATCTCTAGTCTGTTTATTAACCCTAAAATATTTCATTATTATTTTTTTCTTTTTTACATTTACCACTTATCCTCTGATCACCTTCTTAGCATTTCCCATCAATGGATATAGTTATCTCATTTGAATATGTGATTTTTCTTACCAAAAATTACATTCGGCACCGATGCCAATCTGCTTTGTTTATATCACACTTTTTATCTTCATTCCTTAATTACAACTTTTCATGCATACTGTTTTCTTATTTTCCTTTTTTTATTATTCCAACTTGCACGGCTGCTTTTTTTGTTCTGTGGCTTTTTGTCTTTCAACTGTTTTAACTGTAAATTTTGTTTTTTTCGATTGGTTTTGAAAAGAATTTAACATTCTGAATTTCTTTAATATGACTATGGCTACACACCATCTTTGTGGTGCATTAAAATCTTACATAATTAGCATGTTACATCCCAATAATGTTTATATTGCATCATTTCAAAGCATAATTAAATAATAATCTACATGGGAAAGAATTATAACCATTAAAATTACCTCAATGCTTCTGCTACTCAACCTTAAATCATTTATCTAATAAAAATCCAACTCAATAAAATATATGGTCATCATTCTAAGGGTGAGCAAATCACATTCTGTAGCTTTAATCTTGCTTCAACAAGTGAAACTACTGATAAGCTTATAAGTTTTATTGGTGAAGTTTATCTCCAATAATAATTAACATGCATGAGTGGCATGACTGTTTTCATGTCAACATCAAACTTAACTAGCATGCTTATCAACAAGATGTCATGATACTATATAATTTAATTCTATAGTTTTGTCAATATGTAAAACGTAATGCGATCAATCACGGGGGCTATTCTTGTTCCAACGTTTATGACAAATTATGCTCTAACAAACTCAAGCACTTATGATTTATATGCATTTTCAAATCTTTACCATGTGAGCCTTACACCATTATAATAATTATGTTAAGCAGTACTTTTGAGCAAATATATTAACATGCACGATTGTTAGTAAAACATTGGCACTTTAAGAAACAAATGTTAAAAAAATCCAATTAAAATTAAATAAGAGAATTGTGCTGTGCATGTCTAATGTGAGCTCTACATCTAAAACTTAACCTGCCAATTCTACTATTTCCAATTATCTATAGAAATGATTTGATCATAAATAGTCATTATGTTCATGTAATGTATATAAATTGAAGGATTTCATTTTAATCAATTTGAATTTATGCCAGGCAGGTCTACTATGGAAGCTATACATTTATTGAGAAGTTTGATGGAGAAGTTAAGAGGTAATAAGGAGAATCTACATTTGATTTTTATTGATTTAGAAAAAGCTTACGATAAGGTTCCAAGAGATATCCTTTGGAGAGTTCTTGAGAAGAAAGGTGTTGATATGACTTATATTCAAGTCATTAAAGATATTTATACTAGAGCTATTACTTGTGTTCGAACTGAGGGAGGATTGACCAAGTATTTTCCTATTTCTGTTGGATTACATCAGGGATCAACTTTAAACCTATATCTTTTTGCTTTAGTTATGGATGGTTTTACTGGACATTTACATGAGGATGTACCTTGGTGTATGCTTTTTGCCGATGATATCTTTCTTGTGGATAAGACGAGAGAAAAAGCCTAGGAAAAACTTGAATTATGGAGGTCTACATTGGAGTCTAAAGGCCTTCATTTGAGTAGAACTAAAACTGATACATGGAATATAATTTTAGTATTAGTAGCTCTAGTGACAGAAGTATAACTT